GCTTACCACACTACTCGGGGGTGGAAAACTCAGAACTAGATGAAGAGTTCACAATTGCGGAGGTGGAGTTTGCCATGGGGCAGCTGCGTACTACGTCTGCCGCAGGTCCGGATGGAGTTACTAATAAAATGCTGAGAAACCTAGATTTCAAATCGGTCGGGGCTATCACTGACTTGATAAATGAGTATGGGTGGCCGGGGAGATCCCAGCACAATGGAAGCATGCTAGGATTATATTTATTCCGAAGCCAGGCAAGAAACTCTGCTTGGAAAACCTGCGCCCCATATCGCTGACATCATGCGTGGGCAAATTGATGGAGCACGTGGTTCTCAACAGGCTTCAGAATTATGCAGAAGACAAGGCCATCTTTCCCCCAACTATGATAGGTTTCAGGGCCAATTTGTCCACACAGGATGTCATGATACAGTTAAAACATGATGTAGTCAATCCCGGGCATGGCACGGGCACCAAAGCTGTATTGGGGCTTGACCTGAATAAAGCTTTCGACAATGTTTCGCATGAGGCAATATTGAATAACCTATCGAAAATTGGCCCAGGGGTCAGGACATTTCGCTACATCAGATCATTCTTGGAGGGCCGAACCGCAGAAATTTCAATAGGAGATATCAAATCGGACTCATTCGCGTTGGGAGGCAAAGGGACGCCGCAGGGTTCAGTTTTGTCACCGTTCCTGTTTAACATCGCCTTAATTAAAATACCGCCGAGGCTGGGAGGAGATACCGGGACTCAAACACACATTTTATGCAGATGATATTACTCTATGGGTAACCAGGGGTAGTGACGCGCATCTGGAAGAAACACTGCAACAGGCAGTTAATATTGTCGAAGAGTTGGCAGGGGAGGCGGGACTTTCATGCTCTCAGCCAAAGTCCGAGCTCTTTGTGGTTCGGGACAAACCCAGAGGGCTACATGCAAGACACTATATTCCGCCACCGCCGTTAGAGGTAAAGGTAGGGGGTAGGCCGGTAGCTGAAGCTCAAACGATTAGAATTCTTGGCCTATATCTGCAAACTAACAGGAAGAATAGGGTGGCCCTTGAAAAACTTAAGACCACGGTCAATGCTACTGTCAGGCTAATCAGAAGAATCGCTAACCGTAAAAGCGGGGTTAAAGAAAAAGAACTCTGTAAGCTGGTACAGGCGTTTGTGCTCAGCAGGATTACTTACGCGACACCTTATATGAAGTTGGATGCCGCAGAAAAAGGTAAGGTCGAGGCTATGATCCGGCAAGCTTACAAGGCAGCGCTTGGGTTGCCTAACAACGCGCCTACAGAAAGGCTGTTAAAACTAGGGGTACACAACACCCTGGATGAATTATGGGAGGCGCATCTGGTGATGCAGCACGCTAGGCTTTCGACAACCAAAGCGGGCAGGATTATATTGGAAAGGATTGGCATTGGAGCAGAGGCTCCCACTGGGGACACTAAAATTCAGGTGCGGCGAGAGTTACATAAGGCCCTGTACATAAAACCTTTGCCTAAAAATATGCATCCAATTCACCATACGCAGCGCAGGCAGGCAAGAGCCAGAGCTTTACACGTTGAGTACGGCGAGTACAAAGCAGCAGTATATACAGATGTTGCGGAATATAAGGACAAAGACGCTTTTGTGATTGTGGTGGTGGACAGGCGGGGGCGCTTGATCGCTTCTGGATCGGTCAAAACCCGCTCCTCGGAAACTGCAGAGGAAGCGGCAATAGCGCTAGCTATAACTAATTCGCAGTCAGATTTGATTTTCAGTGATTCAAAGACAGCCATCCGAAATCTGGCGAGGGGCAGAATATCGGCGACCGCTGCACGATTTCTGCATAGGGCCACGGGACGAGAAATGAGAGAATAGAAATTGTCTGGGTACCAGCACACTCTGGGAACCCTGGGAACGAGGCGGCTCACCTGAATGCTCGAGGTTTCGTCAGCCGGGTAGGTGAGCCGCCAGTTCCGGGGAGGTCCGCGAGAGATGGCTGGTGTCCTTTCATGACATAACGAATCATTATAAACTAGAGCGGAGGTTTTATCCGCCCCCGCACAAGCGGTTGACTAAGGCGCAGGAATGCGTCTGGAGAAAACTGCAGACGCGATCTTTTCCCAACCCTTACGTGTTGAACAAAATGTACCCTGAGGAGATTAAGCCGCAATGCAAATGGTGTCAGGCTGTGGCAACATATGATCACATACTTTGGGAATGTAGCATAGTGCCGCCGCCGGTGGATATTATGCGTGATCCCTCTCTTGAGCACTGGGAGGCCGTGTTGACCAGCTCAGACCCAGTCGTCCAGTTAAGGGTCGTGGAGTGGGCCACACAGGTCGCCGCCAACCTTGGGTTGATGGCCATCTAACACGGAATCATCCTCAGTTGCTTTCTGACGAAATAAAGTTTTACCATCCATCCATACGGGAGCGGAGCTTCCGCGTGCACATGTAGCCCTACGCCAAGTGAGTTCCATTCGGCGTGCGTTTTATAACGCCGTAGAAAGTGACGAAGACGCACTATCAGTGCTTCGTGTAGACGCAGACACCGCTTGGCGTTCGAGGTACACGTGAAAAAGGTGGGACTTCCTCGCGCGTCCTTCAGAAACACTGTCAGGCTAAATACAATTTTCTTCTTGGTGTGACCTGCGTCCTGTCTAAAATAGGTGCGCGCACAAAATAAAGAAGTAACTTCCATATTTCACCTTAGAAACGGTCGCTATTGTGGAAGCACATTCACTGGTGGCAAGATGCGCGTGATTTGTAACCTTCGCTTCCATGCCAAGAAAAGTTGTCGCCAACTTAATAGTCACGTCGACGTCTCTTCCTTTATTGCAACGTCCTGAACTTGCGTAAACTAGTTCTCTCTCTCTCACAAAAAAGTAATAGTAGCTACCTTTCTAATATGAAATTATACGTTACTCAGTAGAGAGCTTTAGAATAACGCAAGGCTTGCGGGCGTGGCGCTAGCGTTCGTCACTTAACAAGAGCCCGCAAGATGTTAACGTGCGACGCGTGAGCAACGCAATTGCGAAGCTGTGCGTGGCGTTGTTCTAAAACTCTCTATAGCCACGGACTTTTCTTGGCAGTGCAGCACAGACAAAGACTACACAGCCAAATGGCACGTATTCTACCGCCAATGTAGTCCTACAATTGTCTTTATTTTCGACGTGAGTTGTGAAAAATACTGCCTTCATTTTTTTTTTTTTTTGCATGTAGCCCTTTGACACAGGGCGCTGCTCTTGCCAAATAGATATTTGTATTTTAATTTATTCACTGCCACTTCACGCATTTCAACGCGTGAGAAAGCCGCATCTTTTACGAATATATATTCCTCGAACGCCAAGCGGCATCTATGTCGATATGATACGCTGGTCACACGCAGTCATGACTTTCCACAGCGGTATACGGAACGCATGACATTCTGGACTGCTCCGCGTAGTAGTACATGTGCAGAAGCTCTGCCCTTTTAGCTTTCCTTTCATCGCCAAGAAAAGCGTTCCGCGAGCATAGTAACTACAGGTACTCTCTAACAACGGCAAGCACAGTCGCAGCGCAGGAGTGTAAAAGGGCGACCAGTCATTTGTGATACGGTAATCTGATTATTTGTCGAAGTGGCTTATCCTTCCGCGTCACCTCATTTCGTTGATGCGTGCATACGAGTACATGACCTTCGCTGTTACCTTTAGCTAAAGAAGTGTCGCGCTACTGGGCACGTGTATCCAGGTTTCGACAGAACAGTCCACGCCCCGACATAATTGGTGGAAACTGCTTGAGGGTAATAAGTATTGCGTAGTGTTATGGGTAGAAAGAAAGATGGATAGAAAAATTGGCCTTGTATTTCCGTGCTTCGATGCAAAGGACGTCAAAAGACTATAGTCTGGAGGTGCTGCGTGAGATATGGCGCCATCTGGCAGTAATGTGGGAAAACAAAATTTTTTTAGAACGCAGAGCCACTAGTAGGTGGCAGCACCGGGTCATTTTAATTAAAGCCCCTGAATTTTTTCTTTAGGGAAGCGTATAGGTAACACCTGTTTTATCATTCATAGCGTCGCATCAGTGAGGCGCAATAAACAATTCGGTCTGTTTGAAATACGTATTCGTGCACTTTCTAAATAAAAAAGACCCACTGCCTGCCAGTTACGTTCTGGCGTTACACCTCAAATGTCTGTAATAATTTTTGATTAACAATGTTCACATGTAAGAACGAAGCCACCTGATCGAGATAGGTGGGCGTTGAGCAAGGGGTTAAAATGAATCAATCACCAGACAGACCAACAGAAAAATGGACAGGTAAAATTGTTTCCGTCAATTGACTGCGATAGGCACGCGTGCTCGCCAAGCTTCGGTTGTTCTCAATTTTCGATACGCTAATTAATTTTTATAGTGCGCCTTAAAGAACAAACTTCTTATTCTGGTAGAAATTCCAAAAATATGACACACTTACAAAAAGAAACAAAAAAAACTCGAGGTTAAGTAAGGTTGGGTTAGACTAGGCTGTAGGAGTGCAGAATTTTTTTTTACCTATTCTGCACTCCTTAACTCGCATTTCCGATGGAGGTGGAAATGTTGTAGGCCCGTGTGCTCAGATTTGGATGCAAGTTAAAAAAACCCAGGTGGTCCAAATTTCCGGAGCCCTCCACTACGGCGTCTCTCATAATCATATGGTGGTTTTGGGACGTTAAACCTCACATATCGATCGATGCACTCTTTAACTCCATCCTGCGTGCCGGATGCAGGAGATCGCTTCCGCTCTGCGCACCCCAGACGACGGCCATATTCACGGCCTATTAGCCACGGAGCTGGCGCGCATCACGACGCCGGCGGCGGGGATCACCTTCAAGACGACGTGCCGCCTGTACAAGGACCAGCGCTGCCCGATCCACGAGAGTTACGCGACATTCCTGCGTGACAAGTACGGCAAGGGCATCGTGCACGAAGTCAACTTTTCCGGCGGTTACTTCGAGCTGCTCGACGAGATCAACGAGTGGATCGTCAAAGAGACCAAGGGCAAGATACGTGGTCTGCTCACGTCGGACGGCTTCGGCCCAAAGACGCAGCTGGAAATGGTAACCGTGGCCTACTTCGACGGTGCCTGGCAGGCGCCCTTTCAGGTATACTTCCGAAGGCAGGGCACGGATCACTTATATCGTATATGCGTTCGTAGGTTTCTCCAATGGCCGGGAGGGTGCAAAGATCAATTTCAATGTCGCCGCGCTCATTGGTCGAGGCCAAAGGCACATTAGATGCTTCACATTGGATGAAGAAATTTAAATGAAGGGATGATGGGCTTCTCTAAATAACCTGCCTTTGGTACCTGCCTTTAAAGAGCCCCTAAACTACCTGCATGCTCTCCGTGTTTTTGCTCTATCGAGAACAGCTGACCTGTATGATTAGAGGATGTCACGAGGAACAGGTGGTCTGTGAGCGAACAAGAGCCTGTTTTATGCTATAGCAGATGCAAGCACTTGCGTTTTCACCTCGAACGCTGGGAAGAGCATTTGGAGATGTGGATTGGCGAATAGACTAGCCGAGCTAACGCCGTCTAGCGAAGGAAAGAGCGAAACGAGGAGGAAACGGAGGCACAGCCGCCAGCGTTGTATAAGCCCGTCAACAACTGCAATGTCCCAGCTACATTTTGACCTCTGCGTGGCTTAGCGGCGCTTTGAATACGTAATGTAAACGCTTCTTCGAATGCCCCGCTAATGGCGTTCAACTGACATTATCGTCAAAGACTTGGATGGCCATAGGCCTGTTTTTGAACCAATAGACAGTTATAGTCTACCGTTAGCGCGTTAGCGGAAGTTAAGGGAATGGCGTTACCGTGCAGCAAACGTTCTTTTTCTTATTTGATTCTTAATAGAGAGAAAAGAAGATAAAAGTGGGCCCGTAAAGGAGCACCGTCTACATCGTAGTGCGACACTTCCACAGTAGCTCACTAGGTACGGTGGTAAGGAGGGATTAAAAGGATAGGATTAACATCTATAGAGAGATAGAGAGAGAGAGGGAAAGGAGAGAGCGTGGCGCAGGGGCAGCGACATCCGGAAGTAAGGAGAAGACAGTAAAGATGGACACGACCGCAGGAGTCCAAGGATGGGGCACCACTCAGTGAGAGCTCTTGTCCGCGTCAGGAGATGGCGTAGGGCCAGTCGGCCAGAGCTGCGCTGTCGTGGGAGATCGCAGGGCGCAACCGGTCGGCACGAAATCGAGAGAGCGAGTGCAAACGTTCGTTATGGACAGCGTCTTATAGTTTATCCTAAGAACACCTATATGCTACCATAGCGTGATAGCGGAGGTAAAGAGAATGGCACTACCGTGCAACAAAGGTTCATTGCCAACAGCGTCTTATAGTTCAGCGGGATAACGTTTGCGTGATATACTTCCTCAAGCTGGGACGGTGGCGTTACCTATCGGATGGTTAATAAGTTAAAGAACAGTGAAAAGGAAAAGAAAACAAGAATGTTTGCCAATGCTATTGCGTGAAGCATTGTTACAAGTTTATTTTAGTAATAATAAAAGTAAACAAATATGAACCACGCACCACACGTGAAAACATTTATGTTGCCGGTTCGGTTTATTCACATCGGTCTTGTAGCTAGGCCTAGATGCGTTCCAAATGGGAAGCTATCTCAAAAACTACGCCATCTTATCCGTAATATTCAGTCTTCGAAGCTAACTGAAAGCAAGCGAAGCCACTTTTAACTGGCTTACTGCAAAAAAAGGTGAATCTAGCTACAACTACGCCAAAATCACTACGAAGCTGGCGCCCGAGGGCGCTGCCATGTTTTCCTACGTACACCTAAACTACCACGGTAACGTTAAATCTGAATACCGCACGTACGGTAAGCGGTATACGTGTGACGTCCGTATCTGCGCACGTGAACTTCGATCCCGCTATCCCGGTAAGCCCGGTATACAATAACTGTCTAATGACTGGACACGTCCCGCCAACTGAAGGTACGGCGCTGCCTATGTGTCACTCAGGTTCTCAGAGGGCGAGGCTTGTAGCCTTGTTCTCCGTCGTACGCTATCCTATGGCTTAGCTCGCTGTATGCATTCAAAGATTCCCTTTAGATATCTCGCTTCTATCCGTGTCAGCCAAAGGGATCTCCACCCACCTCTACTAAACAGCGCAACCAGCTTCGGGATCTTTTCCGTTCTTCTTGACGCTATAGTGTTTTCATTATACAATCAATCAATCACTCCACGAATGGTAAGTTGAATGTTGTCGGAAATTGCGTCATACTTTCAAGTGGGCCAACGACTGCAGTGTGAGCCAATCGGATAGCACAACACCGTATAGCTAAACGGACGGGACAAATGGCCCCCTTCGAAAGTATAACATCCCTCAGCTCTTACTGTAGATAATACGAGTGTTGATCAGATTTGTCGCACCGTGCAGGAGTTACTGTGTCCTTATTTTGCAGGTTGTGATAGACGTTCTGCAAATGATTCCAGTTTTAAGGGAACGGTGCTGTACTACAGCCAAATTGTATCAACTTGTATACACACCACGTACATGGGAACTCGTAAAAAGTAAAATTGCAGTTGATCGCTCATATATAACCCATGAAATGAAGATTCTTCAGCTTAATGATAAGACAGCCCGATTTAAATGCCGTTAAACTGAATACTTATTGCCATAGATATCCTTCCGACGAGCAGCAGGTCAACTGTGTGCTTTCTTCTGGCACCCCCGCCAATTGTCAGGGACTTAAAATTTAGGCACAGCGTTGACGCCGAGCTATGGTTACTTCAGTAAGTCTATACAAACTGTATTACGTGCAGCCAACATTTACGGGACCCGACGACTTTCACGTGGATGGTCACACGGTCACTCGCGTGGACATGATGAACCAGATGCACTCGTTCGGCATATCCCACTGCGACCAGCTCCAAGCCACGGCGCTCGAGATGTCCCACATGGGCGGCAAGACGAGCATGGTCCTCATCCTGCCCGACCAGATGGACGGCCTGTCGCGTCTTGAGGAGAACCTGACCGCGCAGCGGCTGTCGGACCTCTTGCACGGCCTGCGCGAGAGGCCCAACGTGATGGTCAAGATGCCCAAGTTCTCGGTCGTGACCTGTCGAGGACTGCGGCTCGCCCTCCAGGATCTGGGAGTGCGCGAGCTGTTCACACTGAAAGCCGACCTGTCTGGTATATTCAAGGCCGCAAGTCCAGCCCTGGCCGACATCATCCACGGGGCCTTCCTAGAGGTGAACGAGGAAGGTGCCGAGATTCCCCCGCCTTCCACGGACGAGGCCGTGCTCGGATGTGGCCCTGGAGTCGGGGACATCACGCACTTCGTCGTGAACCACCCGTTCATGTTTGTCGTCAGGCCCCGGCAGTCGAACGTTTTTTATCTGATGGGATCAGTGAGAAGGCCATGAGCAACCTTGCTGTGACCCTCTTCGTCCAGATCATGGACTAGTTCGGCATTCCGGAGTATCGAGCTGGGAGGCCGTCGAGGGAGAACGCAAGCCGTCGGCGGTGGTCCTTCCCCATCAGTCGGTATTTCTGCCGACGGTGATTTTCTTACGATGCGTAATCAATTGAAAATATGCCTCTAAATAAAAAGACACTTTATTGCGACATGAGGGCTTTTATCGGAGAGCTTTACTTCAAGTAGATAAAGCTCAACGTTACTGAACGAGGCACAGAAGAGGTATCCCGACTTGGTCTGTGGTACCCTTCTTTTTGATGGTTGCTCCTTTTGCGTACGGTGATTTTCTTACGCTGTGTAATAAACTGAACATATGCCTGTAAATAAAAAGACACTTTATTGTGACATGAGGGATTTTATTGGAGAGCTTTACTTCAAGTAGATAAAGCTGAACGTTACTGAACGAGGCACAAAGAGGTATCACGACTTGGTCTGTGGTACCCTTTTTGATAGTTGCTCATTTTGCGAACTGGGAAAAGAACGTGCCGAATAGCTTAGTAATGATGGGGGCTCCGAGCGTATTGCGACCGGCCGGCGCTCAGAAGCAACAAACAGTCCCAGTTGTCAAAATGAGTTCCTCTCGCAATGTACCTTTCGAAAGGCGCACAAGCATTTCGACAAATGCGTGCCCATTACCTCTACTTGAGGCACTGTGTACTTGCAGTAGTTACCCTCAGAGAGAGGTTGCTAAGCCACCAGCTTACGTTGTCACCGCTCTGCATTTTCCGTACAGTACCGGATTTATACCTTCAACGCAGCAGTGGTTGACAAACGAAGATTATGAAAATGAAACATGGTGTGACAGTGCACACGCCCATCTTGAACGGCACCCGTAAAAGCTAAGACGGAGGTTTGAAAGGAACCCTCAGTTGTGCGTTATTACGCACCTGGCACTGTACTAATAATCTGTTGGTGGCAAACCATTCGCACTCTCGCCAATCTTCATTCGAAACTGGAAACCTTGTGGCGTGACCGGCTGAATCCCCCTCCTTGCCCGATGTCTCGTCCTTCACCAAGGGATAAGGTCGCGAAACGCATCTTGTATTTAAGAACAGCTTCTTGCTGGGCGAGTTGATACATGTCTGTGCTAACGTTGAGCATACATTCAAACGAACATGGGAAGTAAAGAAGCGTTAACGGAAAGAGCACGAACTATCAACTTGACAGTTTTCGCTCTTTCCGTTTACGCCTATTTACATCCTGTGTTCGTCCGATTGTATGCGCAACGCTACATACCACAGAAAGGCCTCTTGATCATGAAGGATTTAGTTCGGGCGATACCGGTCGTTCCGGCCCTTACCGGAACTCTACCAAAACGTGAGAGGGCAGTGCAAAAAAAGGGGAACAAGCGGATTCCGCAAGATATATGAAGACATTGCTTGTCAGTAGTCCAAAACAATCTCGTAATGTTGCGAAAACAAATTCATCCTTGTAAGCACGAGAGTACTCGAATACAGGCTGAAAATATGCTATTTTGTGTTATACTTATATACAATATCTAAAAGGTGCATGCGCTAGGTGCGCACACAAACCGCTAGTCATGGAGGACGCACAGAACTTATGAAAATGACCACATCCGACTTGCTCTTCAACACGAGCAGCATGAACGGATGGTCGACGACAAAGTCCGTCTTCTGAGTCATTGTCGTTTTCGGAGGCGAAGATGCCATCGCAATCGCGGGCGTGGATACCGCAGGGTCCGTGCCGTCTTCATCGACCCGCAGGTACACCTTGTGGACCATATTCGACACAATGGACTGCCCGATTTAAACATGCCCGAGAGGTTGCACTTGGCTGAGAACAGATCGTTCACGCCCATGGCCATCAGGGTGTCCTGGAGATACAGACACTGTTGGAGCAAGAGTTTCGGCATGGTCACTTCGACGTCGGGCGTTTCCTTTAGGTCTGCCAGGATATTGGACAGCTTGCCGTGGGACAAGTGATGCTCCAAGTGAGACAGACCATCGATCTCGTTGGGCAGCAGTACGACCATGGAGCTCCGACCACCCCTGTAGGGCATCTCGATGGCCCTGACGCCGAGATCGTCGTTCCGAGAGATGGCGAACGCCTGCTTCTGACTCATCATGTCCACCTGGATTAATGATACGGGGCTAGCATAAATGATTAATTTGTTTGGCGAGGCCATAGTCGCATATCTGTTACACGTACACACATGAACGACATATAAAAAGGCCCAAAAACACACCAATATGTGTATTTTGTATTCCGGCGAGGTGGTAGGAACGCTGCTGATATACTTATTCGAGCTCGGAAGACGAGGGGGTACCACAGTGCAGAGAATGGACGAAACTGCTACAAAAAGTGGCCTCAATAATGGTCTGGACGTGTGTCGTGTCACCGATGTGGTACATAGTAAACATTCGTATAAAAAACCGTATGTATACTTGGTGAGTGTGTTATTGTTTGTATATATATGCCGTATGTGTACGTGTGATGAAATACACTTAAACCCCTCAATAGCGAAAGGCCTCAAGAACAAAATTGTCACGTGAGTGATGAACTCTTGCGTCCACGACGTACGTCCGTAGCGTATAATGCATTTTCCCCAACTCTATTGCGAAGAAATTTTAAAAGGCGCTCCCGCAAGAATGAACGTTTCAGCTAGCGATGGGCATTTTTTAGAGCATGTGCTAGCTGGCGATAAAGAAGTTCGAAAATTGCAGTACCGCTCATTCAACAAGTCGCGCCCATAAATTTCCGCCAACTCGCATCTGTGCGACCATTGTTGTCATGAGCGTCGGTTGGAGGGGGAAGGGTGCGAAAGAGATGCTTGTCCCCTCAAGTCATATCAGCACTTATCCTCAAACCAAGCTACATCAACGCATTCTGACCGCCCTCCCCCAAAAACGATGTCAACAAGGGATTGCACCCCCTGATGACTGATGACTGTTCACATTCGGTTGCCATATGCAGCTGAATCATGTGACGGATTTCGGTGTGAGCATCGATGGAGCGCAGACACTGTTGAACCGCTCTAATTTTCACGTGGTGGCACCTAGGATCATGTTGGCTCCCTATAATGAACAAGACCTGGTCGTGCATGCAGAGTTTAGCGACGAAACTCTCCAAAGTGTGCGCATAAAGTATGAGAGTACCGACGACAGTGAAAAAAGCAACAAAACGCAAAAAAGACAGCAAGTAATCTTGCGAGAAATTCTTGCTTTAACATCATTGGCATTTTTTGCGCCGTCCTTGACGATGAGAAAAATGTGAATTTATTTTTTTTCTATTTTGGCGACTACAAATTCTTACGATAACGAATAAACATCGCTTCCTCGGCAGGTTCGTTATTTAGGAGTTTGATTTCATAACCATTTCGAAACAAATAGGCATATACATAACAACAAGAATAATCATGATTATAGAATGTTCATTTCCCAAAACCACAATTCAGAAACGCCCTAGGGGAGGGCTCCGAAATATGCTGAAGTGGGCGTCACTACCCCGGATGACGCCTACTTCTCTTCACGCTGCTGAGAAGAGGGAGAAGGCCGAGTGAGAACTATTACAGAACTTATTCGCGAAAATCTTGCGGTAGCGTGTTCACTTCGTAAAAGTGCCCAGTTTTCGCTTCATAGCACATATCGGACCGCTTGGTTGTTTACTGACCTTTGAATAAGACGCTCTGGCAGTCTAGTACGGTCATCTATAGCTTTTAACCATTATTAAACTGCGTGAAAATACCAAGATACAAGAGGCACACAATCGCTCGTGGCGTTCTATATGATTGTTGCTTTTGTGTCCTTGTTTTTTTGCACAGTTTTATCATTGAAACACAGGCCCTTCAGTGTGCACCTAGATACAAGCACACTGGCTCCTAGAATTTTGCATACACCGAAATGTGGCCCCCACTGCCAGAAATTTATCCCGCCACCTTCGCACCTGGACCTTGGTCCTGGAGTTAACGTTGAAGTCGCGCCGCGACGTCGAGCAGGCCGGAAACGGCGACTCCCAGAGTCCCCTGAAGTAGACGGCGTTGACCAGGAGCACTCCTGTGGAAGGGCCGACGCTACCGGGAGCCAAGAGGTCCACTATCTTTGACTCGGTCACGATCTTCACCCAGTCGTTGATCTCGCCGCGAACGGTCTCGCTGTGCTTCTCGAAGTCTACCGACACGATGGTCGACACGTATGTCGATTTGAGGAAGGTCACGTACTCCTCCGCGACCGGAAACGTCAGGCCGCTGTAGATGCGATTGGCGAAGTAGTACTGCAGCTTGTGGGAGTGGCTGGACAGCTTCGGCAGGAACGACGCGAAGTGCTCGTGCAGGTAGCCGTCCTTGCCACGCAGCGCTGCCAGCAGCTCGTCCCCCGTGTTTCCACGGGACCCGGCGAGCGTCATGGACAGGGCGGCCGCGATACTGAATGGCGAAGAGGTGACGTTCTCTCTCTTGTCTCTTCTGCAGCGCACCAATTCCCTGTGCAGGTCCACGGAAAAGCGCACAATCATGCGACTTAGAGACTTGGGCATGACTACGGACGTCGGGACCTGTGGAGCAGAATTCAAGTGCGCTAAGACCACACAGTCAACAAGTAGGAATCAAAGTGTCTTATTTTAGTCATTCATTTATTTTTCCGATAATCATCTTTCTTTTGCGGAAACACCAGTGGCTGAAGATGTCGCTTCACAGCTGTGGTCTCAATTGCAAAAGTTATCGTAACGTCAAAGCAGTATTACGTTTCTTCAAGTTACGTACCTACTTGAAGCTGGCAACCGGGACTGCTTCGTGAAAATTCCTTCTTCTACCTAAACGATTTTGTGCACGCGCACACATTGGCTGCCGTGCACGCGCGTTCGGAATCCGCGCCTTTGATGATGGTCATACCGTTTTCCTGATGGCACTTGTGACTTTGTTTTGTTTTTATTTTCGCCTAGGAGAAGTTGATCATACCCACAAAGCAGATTGGCTTTCTGCTTAGTACCTCTTATAAAGTTTTAGATGCGGAGCATCTCATACTCGAGGCTTGTAGTGCGGCGCCGTCCGCAAGCTTCCTCCTCCTTCTTCCACCATCTGTGCATCCCTTCCTCCTCTACACACCGCGCGCGCTTCACTCCTCCACCATCTGTGCACCCTTCCCCCTCTACACACCGCGTGCGCTTCTCCTCTTGACGGACATTCGCTAGCTGTATAATGTAGCGCGC